GTGTATGTCTGAGACAAGCAGAAAAGGTCAGATAAGTTGATGTTAGGGAAAATGAACCCCAAGATAAGGACACAAGTGGTTTTTTCATTCTTGCTATTATTTCTAACATATTTATAAGGTGATTTGTTGCTTTGTATGTCCCTCCCCCATGGTATAACCCCTGTTTTCACTGTATTTGAGGTTGGTATAATTTGGAGAAGGGAAGGGAAAAAAAACACATTGTTTAAAGAGGGATACAGGTGGACTCAGTGCAACAATGAGATGTACAAAATGCTATGTTGAAAAACGAACTTTACAACTTTGTGGGGGGAGTGTAGTCATGGAGATGGGAGGGCAGGAATGGTAGGGGAAAGACAAAGGAGGAGGCAACAATGCTTGATAAGAAATGTACTTATTACCTTGCTCATGTAATTGCAACCCCTCTGTATGGTATTTTCACAATAAAAAACTTAAAAAAAATCTTACAAACTTTCCTGCCCAGGCTGGCTTTGAACTTTGATCCTCAGATCTCAGTAGCTAAGACTATAGGCATGAGATGCTTGTGCCTGGATTGCACTAGTTATTTTTGACACAGACTTGCTTTTTGCCTGGGTGTAGGCCTGGACCTCCATTCGCCCACTTCAGTCCTCCTGTCCTATAGGATGGTAGGTGTGCATCCTTATGTCTCATTACTGGTTGAGAAGGGGAATCCTATGTATATGTCTGGCCTGGCTTCAAACCTCAATCTTCCCAGTGGCAGTCTCCAAGTAGCTAGGATTATAGGCATAAGCCTCACGTACCTGGCTTACACTTGCTTGCTTGTCTTTTTCTCCTTTCCCTCCCTCCCTCCCTTCTTTCCTCCCTCCTTCCCTCTTCCCTCCCTTCTCTCTTTCTCTCTTTCTCTCCGTTCTTTCTTTCTACATTAAGTCTCTTGGCAATTTTTAAGCATATAATATATTGCTAATAAGGAACATCATTGTGATGTGTAACAGAGCTCCTGAATTATGGAAAGAACCCAGAACTGAGATTTTGTGTCCTTTTCCAACAGCTCAGAGCCCCAACCCCACCTCAGCCCCTGGTGACACCACTTTACTAGCTGCTCCTATGAATTTAGCTTTCACATCATGTATCTGTCTTTCCATGGCTGGATTGTTTCAGTTAAGATGTTGCCAGGCGCCAGTGGCTCACACCTGTAGCTAGGATTCTACCTACTCAGGAGGCTGAGACCTGAGGATTGCAATTCAAAGCCAGCCCAGGCAGGAAAGTCTGTGAGACTCTTATCTCCAATAAACCACTCAGAAAACCGGTGGTGCTGTGGCTCAAGTGTTAGAATGCTAGCCTTGAGCTGAAGAGTTGAGGGACAGAGCCCAGGCCCAGAGTTCAAGCCCCACGACCAAAAAAAAAGATGTCATCCAGGTTCATCCATGCTAAACGCTGAACAATGTTAGGAGAATAACATGGTAATTTTGTGTGTGTGTGTGTGTGTGTGTGTGTAAGTGACAATATCTGAGCAGGCTAGATGAGGGGTAGGAAGATAAGCATAGAAGGTGTGATGAATGTGTGTGTATAGTCAAGTGTAGACAGGGAAGCATTCCAGGCAGAAGGCACAGCATATACAAAGGCATGGAACCAAGAAGAATTAAGATGTGTTGAGATAACACAAGAACAGAAGAGACCAACATAATAGAATGCGAATGGATATATCCGTTTGTTTGGAGTGCCAGTTCTGAGGTTTGAACTCAGGGCCTGAGTGCTGTCATTTAGCTTTTGTACCTAAGGCTGATACTCTTCTACTTGAGACACAGGTCCACTTCTGGTTTTTGATGATTCATTTGAGATAAGAGTTTCAGAGACTCTCTTGCCTGGGCTGGCTTAAAACCATGATCCTCAGATTTTAGCTTTCTAAATGGCTAGGATTACAGGTGTGAGCCACTGTGTTTGGCAGAATGGCATTATCTTGTGAGGATCCTTCTGTGCTCAAGTAGATAGTTGAACGTGGTCCTAGAGGTACTCAGAAGAAAGACAGTTAAGAATGATATTCTAGTACCATAAATAAAAATTAACTTAGAGAGGAGAGGCAATCATATTCCAAAATATCAAAGTATCTGAAATGTGTTTACCAAAGATAGAAAAGATTTCAAGAACCATGAGCAAAGATGTATCCAGAAACTGGAATAGAGAAGCACCAGGATCTCTTTCAACACTGTATTTTTATAACATGTCTCAGCTCCGTTTTATCAACTTCTTTTTATTAAACTGAATTATCAGATTCCCCCATTCTAGTTACCTAGGATTTCAGGAATGGCAGTAACAATCTAATGGCTCTAAATTCATTATGACAGTTCCAGGATCTGAGATGATTACCTCACTGCCTTTCAAACAGATTTTTAGGCAGATGGCTTTGCCTTCTTCTACTGCAGAGGAAGAGGAACAAGAAGGACAAGCTCACTATCTGGAGCTGAGTAAATGATGATCCTCTCAGGAAAGAAGGAGAAGATTGAGGGCAGCGCCAGGGTTCAGGGTTCAGGGCTCAAGGGGAAATGCACTCAGAAACTGCAACCTGTACATGCGCTTTCCTAATTAGGAGGACCAGATTTTCTTTATGCCCACATAGTATCTAGCACAGTGCAGACAAGCTTCTATCTCCTCAGTAATGTATGTTAAATGAGATTTAATAAATGTACACTGTTGGGGCTGAGTCTTACAATGCTTCCTTTCCCACAAGAGTCAAATATAATTCAACTTTCTTCTGAGGGCAGAAATAGCTGGAGCACACTAGAAAATGCATTTCTTATCCTTTGCAAAGCTCCAGTTTAAATGACATAGAAGTAAACTGTGCTCTGTCTAGTTGGTTTCTAATTGTCACTAGCAAATTGTTATTAGCAAATTCTATTTGCGAATCATTGTCAAAGCACACCCAAGATTCAACAGAAATATACCAGGAGACTTGGTTTCTATCTCATTCTGTGTCTCTTCTGTTTCTCTCTCTTTCTCTCCCTCTCTTTCTCCCTCCCACCTGCGCCCCCCCCTCACTCCTCCTACAACCTCTCAGATCAGGGTGGGAGGAAAGGCTAATTAATTTACATCAAGGTTTTCAGCTTCAGATGCTGTTTATACTAACCTCTCACAGGTGTAAGGAAAAGCAAGGAGTTTTAGAGAAGCTGGATATACATGGAAAATGAAGCCTTAGCTTTGGATGGTCACCAGTCTTAATGTGTACCATCCTTCTGTATTGAGGGGTGGTGGAATTAAGAAGCAGGAAAGCAAATGGGATAAAACTGCAGATGAAATAACAATGCCTAAAGAAAATTGCCAGGCTAATGCTCTTGTCTTCTCCTTTCCACCCTGCAACAGTACTGGGGTTTGAACTCAGGGCCTTCCACTCTGGTATGGATTTTTGCTCAAGACTGGCACTCTACTACTTGAGCCACTCCTGACTTTTTGCTGGCTCCTTGGAGATGAGAGGCTCTCTGGATCTGTCTGTGTGGGATGACTTGGAATGTGGATCCTCAGATCTGTACTTCCTGAGGATCTAGGAATACAGGTGGGAGCCACCACCACCCAGCTAAATGTTCTGCTTTGATCAGATTGTGGAGAAAATTCCCTTTGGAATCTCAGTATTTAGATGAATTCTTAAACAGCGCAAATGCCTCTTTTTATGATGTGTCTGGTACATCACATCATGAAATCCAAAAGCATAAAGAGCTATTGCTGCTGGAACATATGCATGTATAAAGTGGGGCTGTGAAGCTTAAGAGGACTGTAAAATAGCCCACAGTAAGTTACGCCATGGAAGATTTCCAGTGGTGAACTTCGAAATGGATGACATGTAACCTATTAACAGATGGACTTCTGGGACAAGCTCTAAAGAAAGAATTGTATGGAAATTTGGAGAAAGTGTGAAAAAGCAACAGCTTCTCTCTGTCAAATAATTGCCTTTCCTGCCTTCCCTACCTTGGCTAGGACTAGGAAAGGAACTGGCAGGCTCAGATTTCTAAGTTTCCCTTGAAATTACTGTTGATGGAAACTGTTATTTTAGGCGTTAGACTTAATTTTTTTCTCCAAGAGCAGACTTTATTTTTCTCATTTCGTTTATGGCAAGTTTGGGCTTGTATGGAATAAAACAAACAGTCAAACCCAATCTCAAAAGCATTGCTGCTGAATAGTGCATCCTGGAGACAAATTGTGCCCCAGAAAAAAACCAAACAAATGAATAAAAGAACAAGATGGGAAAACCAAAATGGTCATAAAGTCCACAACATAAACTACATCATTAAAGTTTTGTTCAAAGAGTTTTTATTTTTGGCCCACAAGTGTAATTAGCTAGCTAGATTACTGTTTGGGCACTGGCAGAAAACGTGTTAAAGTGCCTATTAAGAAATAGAAAACCTCATTTTAAAGTACAAAATCTGGGCAAAGAACGAGGAACAAACAACTTTCTAAAAAGTACTTCACTATGAAAACTCCTCCCTCTCCCCAGAATAAAGAGAGAGAGAGAGAGAGAGAGAGAGAGAGAGAGAGAGAGAGAGAGAGGCCATTTCTGGCTTCCCAAAACCGTGGGTGCAGCGCTGGTGAATGGCTTTGCCAGCTGTTGAGGACCAGCTTGGGGGAGGTTGGAGATGGCAGAGCCTGAGGTCTTGGAAACTCTGCTATTTATACCCTGGGTTCTGTGATTTCTCACTTTCTTGGCGCATGTACCAAACCTTAAATAAAGCCAATACCGCCTCCACCACCAAAACCAACAAAACCCCAAAGAGGCAGGCTGGCATCGCCCGTGGCTGTTGGCCTCGGGATGGCTGCCAACTCTTCCTCTCCTGTGCGTCTCCAAGTTTGCTCTGGAGAGCCATTGCAGGTGCCAGGCCGCCGCCCCGTCGGGTGTGGCCCGAGCACCACGGCGGGTACCAGGCGGCCGCCCCGTCGGGGGTGGCCCTAACACCACGGCGGGTACCAAGCGGACGCCCCGTCGGGGGTGGCCCTTGCACGCACGCGCGCAGGCGCAGAAGGACCGCGCAGGTGCCCACCTTGCTCGCAGGTGCCCTTGCTGATCTGGGTGATGGCCTTCTCCCCGCGGCTCTCGGCCTTCAGGCTGGCGGCGCGCAGCTGGCAGGCGTTGGGATAGGTGGTGCCGTCGCTGCCGCACACCGGGTAGCGCGCCTTGCACACGCACACGCCGCTCACCACGGGGCCGCCGGCTGCCGCCCCAGCTTTGCCCTTCCGTCTCTTGCGGCTCTTCACGCACTCCATGCCCTGCGCGCAGTGCCCCCTGTCGGC